CGGTGCGGAGGTGTAGCGCGTAGAAGCAGTTGGAAGGAGAAAGTGACTTGATTTCAGGTCGAAGTAATGAAGTAACATTAAACAGAATCATCTTGAGGTTATAAGTGGGCACACGAAGGTGGTGTTTCAGCCGAGGACAGAAAAAAGACGATAGAAGGAGGAATAAGCAGGTCGATAAACCAAAACAGCAGAGCAGAGAGAAGGAGTGACGGCTGAAGGGATATGAATGCAAATCAGGCTGAAAGCTGATCCTTCGGTTGTATGATTTCAACTTCAGCCTCCTCAAAATCACCCAAGTCAGCGTGTCCGACCTTTTCAAAAGCCTCCTCATCAATCGGATCTGACTTCTCCTCCTCCTCCTCCAAATCATCAGCATCCTGCTTCGATTCGTCTTTGCGCGGAGCCTCTTCTTCTGTCGACACCGGCTTGCCCTTTTTACGGAATTCCTCGATTAGGTAGGGCTCCGTGTTTGAGTCCAGCAGGCCAATGTAGTGGATTGTCTGTTCATCGTAGACCTCAAACATGACGGAAACGTCTCGACCCAGATCCTATGGGAGGAGGACGCACAGATGAGATGACAAAAGGGAGGGAGAGCGAGAGAGATAGAGAGAAATACGCGTTATTTTTGAAGGTGGCATCCAAAATTTTCAGTAAATAATGGCTCCATTCACTGAGACCATGGGATAAATTAACAAAATACTAAAAAATATAGAGGGTTACATAAAATTCTCATCTATTATGGAGACAAGTCTAGTCTCAGCATCTGGTTTGCCAATTCTTTGCATGTGAGATAGCGTTCTAACAATGGCAGTACAGAATGCTGATACTTCGATGTACGGCAGGAAATATTATGGAAGCTATAGCGCATAGTACGGGAAGACTTTGCAGCCATTAATTTAGAGTGGAGGGACGGGCAGCCTCGTCAAAAATACGATCAGCAAATTGCTTGACCGTTGTAACGTCGCTGTATTATAATACCAGTTAAAAAGCATAAGAAAAACCGGCAGCTGGAGAGAGCATTCGAAGGATACGCATAAAAATCAAAGTTTTTTTAAAACAAGGCTGGAAAATAACCGAAGAGTAGAAGAGAGTGAGGCGGAGGATGCAGACATCTATCAATCTCCAGATGAGGGCTTGAGGTATGCGATACTAACGTAGTCGACGGATATAATACAGAAGTTTACTAATTGTAATGAAGAGTGTTTCAATATGAAGAGTAAACGAAAGATAAGATGTCAGAGGTACCGGAAAGAGGATACCTCATTGAAAAGGATATCTAAGGATTCAAAACTGGAAAAGGGTCGCAATCGGAGAGCGCACTGGTTTGACTTCTAATTATTTAACAGAAGACCGTTGGTTAACGACCATACTGAGACGCGGTCCAGGCCATCTTTCAGAACCTGCAGATGCGTCTGAGTTTTGAGAGTATGACCAACAACCATACCATCACTATACTTTACATACAAACATTCATCTTGCGATCGTAGAGGTGAGGGGATAAGATAGACTCTTCAAGAACTCAGCAGTTGTTAGGAAGGACCGTGGATTTTCGCTTGCCGCATTGGACGAATTTATTGTGACAAGTGAAATAGTCCCCAAGCCAAGAGACAGCCCAGCCGGGGAAGCCGCATGCAGACGTTTTTATTAACGAGGATATGGCGTGGGATAGTAATAAGGCTGGGAAGTAGTCAATAAATGCACGTGCGTACGCACGGCAACCCTTATCTAAATCTCTTAGAACAGAATGGACCACCATAGCAACAGCGTCTAGGGTACTACGTCTGGTCTTATTTACAATTTGCAGAGGGTCCGAAAAACCGGAGGAGAACGGCTTGGCTATATCTAAGGTAACTCATTTTGCAAATATCAGTATTGCGAAAGAGCAAGCAATTACTAGTGTACTGCGTTGGCCAGTGAGACGCTTAAGACTCTTCCAAATTTTAGCCGAGAGAGGAAAGGGAGAAGTAAAAATCCGACTAACAAAGAGGTCATTCAGTCTGAAAATGTCACGTTTTATAAGGCCGTTAACATCCTTTAGTCTTCCACGTAGACCTAGTGTGTAAAACAATTCCTTATGGCGTCTTAGACAGTTAAGATGGGAAGTAGAAATCCTCACAAGTCTGACCATAACAGTGTCAAGAGGACAGCAGATATCATAGTCTTCGTTTAAAAAGGTTGTAAGTTCCTTTAGGCATGAGAGTGATTCTTACTAGACGCCAATCGTCAGGAATCTTAGACTCCACGAAGGACAAGTTGATAAAATGTGTCAAGACAGGAGCTAACTGAAGACAGCAAGATTTAAGGAGGAAGTTTGAGACACCATCTAGTCTGGCAGCTGTTGAACCTCGAACCTTTTTAAGGTGTTTCAACACTGTTGCCACCCGGTGATAAGAAAATGCTGTTTTATGGAGGATAGGAGTCAGTGGGAGTGCGGATAAAATTCGCATTTAAACCGTTTAAATCAGCACCCACATGGGCTTATGTATTGCGTTGGCCAGTGAGACGCCTAAGACTCTTCCCAAGTTCAGTCGAGTCGAGAGGAGAAGATGTAGAAGAATTAAAAAGCTGATTAACAAAGATGTCATTCAGTCTGAAAATCTCCTTTTTCCCCTTTTAGTACGTCTCGCAGACCTAGTTTGCAGAGGAGTTCCTTTCGGTGTCTTAAAATTTTAGATCAAGAGAAGAAATTCTGTTAGTTCTAACCATAACAGTGACAAGAAGACGGCGAGTAACATACATAATTGGGGTTCCAATTAGCTCGCAAAACGAACAATGTAAAACAGGATGAGTGCATCCTCAAACAGATCGGTGTAAAATAACCCATTATTAAAGAGTTCGTTTAAAAAAGCTGTAAGGTAACTAGAAAACGACTCGATGTTCGAGTGTCCAATGAAGGCAGGGATATTTTCAGATATGCAAAACTGAAGCAAGCAAATATTACGTGGGGCCGTGTCGTGCACCTTAAGTTTCCTCTCGGGTTTTGCTAACGGCGATTGCTTAAAGCTGGAACATGTAGTTGGTAGGCCCAATAACACAAAATGTTCTGAGCCTGAAAACGGAGTTCTATTTTG